GGAACTTACCCATGGCCCTCGGAAATGGGGGAAAAGAGAACTCAAAAGGTTCACGGGACCAGAGCCTGTGTTTCTCGTCCTTGAAGCTGTGAGATACCTCCTTTGGGTTCTACCACTCCCATCAGACTGTTAAAAAAAAACACCAAAATTCAACTGAGTAAATTTTTGAGATCTTTTTGGCTTTATTCATTTAAGTCACAACCTAATTCTTGAGGAATCAAAAACTGTACTTGTCTTCCAAATCTAGTCTTTACAAGAATAGAAATGCAGCACTCAAAGCAATTCAGAGCCCACCTATTCTTTTTACCAATCCCCAAACCTCCCCTATTCATCTCAAAAGGTTTACAGATACTGTAAAAGATGTGGATTCAGAAAACAGTTTTTCCAGTGCCTTTGAGATATAAATGTTCTACTTGGTCTTCTCCAGGAGTTCTCATCTGGGCTGTTTCTTTCAAATGTAAACTTAAGGGAAGTAATTCTTATCAGAAGGAAAAAAAAGATGGGGAAGGCTACTTGGAATTTAAGCAAATAAGAAATCTTAAGTGTCTTCTCCACAAATATTAATGAAAAGTTTTAGCCATCTGAGCATGTAACCTTAATTTATTACAACTTCCAGAAACATGGCTTGGATCCAACTCTTCTTTGATAAAACTAGTGAGGTATGGCTCATGACTCGGGGCAAAGGAGGAGCCAGGACTTGCTAGTTCTCTTTCCATCTCCATGTCTACTTCCTGCTCCTGTCACTGCATTCTTAGGAGGAAACTGACATCTTCATGGTGTGAAAGCTGCTTGGCCTTGCAGCTTTCAACCTGTGAACCAGTGACTGTGGCTGGAGGACTCTTCATTGGGCCACCTGAGTCACTTACCCACCCTAGGGTGAGGGTATGGGGTGACACCTGCTGGAGAGCACCACCAGGACCACATAAAGGTACATAGGGAATCCACCAGGGCGCCAGCCTCCTCACTCACCCCAAGGAACAGCCAATGTCCACTATGGGGTCCAACCACCTTTTGCCACAAAAAGTTTCTCAATTCGCAGGCACAAAGGCACAAGTCTGTTTTGTCAGGGCAAAGAGGAATTTTGCAGGGAGGCTGTAATGGAGTCAGGCATGAACCATGCAAATGCTCCATTTCTTTAGTTAAGATATCCATGGCTAGGACCTAATTAAGAGACTTTGTTACTTTGCTTCTGAAGCCACATTTAAACAGCATTAACCGGGGTTCCTGGCACAAGACTCTCATTAAGACAGTATATCCACAGTATGCTTATAGATGCCTTGGGATTTCCCAGCTTTCATGGGTTTATTTAAAAGACAGATGAGAAACATTTACAAAATCCAGAATGTCTTCATCTATTTGTTCCTAGAGAAGTCAGCAAATCAAACAGAAAAGTGGCGATGACTGATCATTCTCAGTCATAAACTGGTTCTTGAGGCCATGTTTAAGATGCTCTTTAAACTTGCTTTTCTTTGAACCACATTGGATTGGGGGCTCTTGCTGTCACCCATCCCAACCCTAACCCCAGCACTGGGTACGGGAGATCAGCAGCAGAGGAGAGAATCTTCTAACATTTATGGAAAGTCCGATGGTGTTTCTAAAGAGATCTTCCAACTCCCTCACTGGCATATGCTCCTGGGAGGTCAAACTTGAAAATCCAGCCTTAACAAGACACAGACCTACTAACTCACAGTCACAGCCCAATGTCCTTCACAGGAATATTCTTTCCAAAACAAGGCAGTGGTCAAAGGCCTAGAGGCTTCATCTCTTCAGGATTCAGCACAAATGAAATCACACTATGAGTAAAAGCAAAAAACACAAAAATGAGCACACAAGACACTCCAGGCTACATCACAGCTGTAGGACAGAGCACCAGGTTAGCCACGCCAACATCTGGGACTGCGGCCCAGAAGGCAGGGCCTACGGGCAAACTCCAGCTCATTCCCACTTCACCCAGATGATGTCTGACCTTTATCTTACCCTGGAAGAGCTAATTTAGGGTCGCTAGAGAGGGGCTCTTTTTCCTGAACATGATCCCTAGTGGTGATTACCGGCTTCAACATAGGTAGCTCTGTGATCGCTTCTTGATATGTAAAAATTCCTTCTACTTAACCTACATAGTGCTGCCTACCTGAAAGACTTTTTAAAAGTCTCTTGTTTTCTATATACTTTCTTAGATATTTTCAATATACCTTTTTTATAATCACAAAACATGTTATTTGAAATAGTAAGCATTGGTTCAACATTTTTAAAAACTCAGTTTAAAATATGACTCCAGTTTCACTATGGGGAAATCTAACATTTTAAATGTTCTCCTAGGACAATAAAATCTGGTTAGCCCTTGGGGCCCAGGGAGGACTACCCAAAGCAGCTGTTCTGTGAGAAAGGAAACCTGAGAAACCCAGCCGCAGGAGCTCTCGCCTTGCTGCACAGGGGATCACGTGGGGTCTCTGAAAGCCCCCGTACCTAGCACACCCAGTGCACCGCAGACCAATTAAACCAGCACCTCTGGGGTGAACCCCAGAACTGAGGTTTTTGAGATTTCCTGGGTGACTCCAGCATGCAGGCCAACTGCATAAGTAAGCGTTAGCTCCACTATCCTCCTTCACAGATGTCGAATGTTAGATCCCCTTTATGTCTACTCAGCACTGCATCAGGCCTAGCTCCTTGTGGACAGGGCAGACTACTGCTCAGTATGAAACCCTACAAAATCAGCATGCGCTTGTGAAGGCAGGCTGGTAAACGCCACTCCCCACTCACCGTCTGCTCTCTTTGGATTCCCTGCAGGAGCTACAGTGACAGCTGTTTCCTGGATTCCCCCCTGTATCCAGAACTAGCTGACGTCCAGTGGTACGGCCAGGAGAAAGCCAAGCCGGGGACCCTCGTGTGAACCAGCTGGCCTCAATCTGACCGCCTCAACGCCATTCTGAGATCACCTCACTGCCTCTCATTTGCCTTACCCAGACACACCGTCACCCTGCACCAGCTTTGGCCCTCAGCACTTTTTCCTCCTGTCTCCGCATCCCCTCACAACTCAAAAACCTGACTGAGGAGACATTATGGAAGGTTCCGGTCCCACTGTGTGTCCCCTGGCTCTCTTGCCTACAGAGAGCCAGGCACCTGTCCTTAATGGTACCTTGATGGCTTCCCCCTGCCATGACAGCCCCCAGGCCAGGAACCATCAGGGAAGCTGGCTGGCCTCGAATTCCTGTGGACAAGTGTTACAGAGGACAGGGAAGGAGATACTGCGGGTGGCCCAGAAAGTCTGCTAAGCTGTGGCCAGCCTGCCGCCAGGAGGCACCAGCCAGGCACTTCAGGAACAGGCCGCCTGGTGGGAAGGTTCTTAACACCTGAAATATTCCTTGGGCAGTGGCTCTTGGGGGAGCGGGGAGGAATGAAACAGGACGCTCAACACATCAGAGATGTATCAGAGGATCACAATCAGTTCTATGCTGCCAAAGATTTAAAAAATCAAAACACAAAAAATGAGAGGGGCCAAGAGGAAGACATTCTTTGTGTAACAAAATCTCTTTCAAATTCTAAACTGCTACAACACCCAAGTCCAAGTCAACCATTTGTAAACTGTTTCCCCTCTTTATGCCTCTCCCCAACGTCCACCTTCTCTCTCGGGAGAGCCTGGAAAACTCAGTGATGGGATGCGAAAGTCGGATCTCCGTGAGTCTGGACGCTGAGGACAGACCTGTGGGGAGCAGCGGAGTGTGCTATCAGCCCTGGTTGGTGCCCAAGCCCAGGACACAGCTGCTTTCCTTTTGGGATTTGTAGGAAACATAAGGTGATGATGCCAAAAGAGGTTCTCTCTCATTAAAACAACCAGTAAAATGATCCTGTTTTTTTTTTGTTTTGTTTTGTTTTGCACAAGGTGTTTCATTATATTTTTTACGGGAAACCAAGGGAAAAGCACATAGCAGTTCATTCAAGTGTTTAACTGTTGTGGCTCATTTTATGTTTGTTAGCACTTGTGTGACACAGAGCTCAGCTCCAACTTCAGTTACCAATGTGTCTCTTATTCAAAAACCCAACTATGTCCTTAGGTAGAAAGATTTTACTCATGTGTCTACTAAGGCAGAGCAGGGTTGAAAAAAATATCAGCTCCCAGGGGGCCCACATGCCTACAACAGCGTCAGCCACCTGATGTACCACATTTGTCTGCAGGTACCAAAAGAAGAAAGAAGAGCAAAAAACGGTGTGGGAGCTGCACGTTTACATGTGCTTTGAGCTATGCTTAAAACACAACTGGAAAGCCATCAATCTTCAAAGGCCTCAAAACTACTTTTATAATAATAACAAGTGCACACTCTTAGTTGGGTATTCAAAATGGCACAAACACGGTCTCCACAGAGGTGGTATGCTGTGCTTATTGGCACAAGTGGGGGGGCGGGGGGATATTTTTTCCTCACTTGTAATGACTTACCGGAAAGGCATTGGGGCAGCCAGAGACAGGAGCCAGGGTGGGAGTAGTTTTGTGGGAGAACAGGACTGAAGTTAGCTTTAGCATAAAAAGAAAAATCTTTGTTCTTATGTATATGTAATCCAAGAATAACAATAGACTCCACCAGACCAGGAGGGTATGGATGGACATGAAACAAAATAACCTGGTGCACCCTCTGCTGCAGTGGGCAAAGCACGTGGATTCACAGCCGCTGGGCCATCCGGATGATTCAAGGCCTGGTCTTCGAGGCCCTGTGCACGGCTGGGTTGGTGATAGCAGCTTGCGGAAGGGATTACTATTCACAGAACACTTTAGGGGTAAACCCTGTAGGATACATAAAACTGGTTATAATGTTAAAATGATTCTGGGGATTGATGGGGGGGATAGATTTTCGTTGCCCTTATTCTGATGGTCAAAGCTACAAACAGCAGATTTTTTCCCTCCCCACTTGGAAACATTATACATTGGGCCATTTTTCTTTCTCCCAAAACTGATTCGTGAATAATCAAACTGGACTATGAACAACAGGAGCAGTCAGTCAAAAGGGAAATAGAAAAGGTGACAAGGTTCTACAACATGTACAGTAATGGAGCATCAAGTCTGAAGTCAATCGGGTCAAGCTTTTAGCCCAGTTGGGTTACAGTGAACGAGAGATGAAAATTCTAAACACCTGGGTTCTGGATTCTGGGGGCAGAAAGAAATGGAGCAGGAGAGGGATTGTAATTCAGACCAACATCACAATAGTCTGGTAGTAAAGACAGAGATTAAGTAAAACAGGTTTTACTGTTTAGCTGCGTTCAGTTACTACGAAGTGTACATAAAGTATTAGTCCTTTGAGACTGACATGATTAATGAATGATCAATGTGGTGGGAAACAATGGAGTTATTGTACACAAGCACTTGCAAGCTCTTTATAGATCCCTATTTCTTTAAAACAAAAGATGGACCATAAAGCCTGGTCTGATATAAAGCCCCATTGGATTCTGTGGACATGTATAAGAAACTACCTGTTTAGCCAGAAGACTGGTGAAAACACCTATATCAGACTGTTGCTAGCCAGGTGAATTTTTTACTTTATTATATGGAGGTGACTGTTGGAGAAGTTAAAATTCCAATTTGTTTTCATTCAGTATTAGTTTAGTTCTAAACATAGCAAACCCGATCCAGGTGCTATCAGATGACCAGTTACTGCTTAGTTAACTAGGTGTAAAATTTTTCATACACAATGTCAATAGTTTATTACAAGTTGTGTAAAATGGACTCTAGTTTAATAATGGGGGAGAAAAGGATTAGGTTGCTCCTGAAACTGACTGTAGAGCATGTAAAATGATTTTACTGGATTCTGTTCAACTGTAATCAATGAAAAAGATGTACGTTGTAGACAAAGTTGCAGAATTAAAAAGAAATCTGCTTTTAATTTATTCTTTTTGTATTAAGAATTTGTATAGTACCTTTACATTTTGCAAAACAGTGTGGTTGACACTTATTAAAGCATTTTCAAAATGAAGAGCTCTCAGTTGCTGCTTGGCGATCTGTTTGTTTCTAGATGACAAATGCTTAAGATGCTCTGGAAATCTGTAACTCCGGTGCTGGTGTCCTCACCAGGCTCATTTTTAAAAGTCAACTTGCAGACGCTATTCTTTTTATTAAATTTTTTAAATTTTATTTTTAAGTACAGTTTGCATTCACCATTATTTTGTATTAGTTTCAGTTATACAGCACAGCAGTTAGACAATCATATACTTTACAAGTGTTTCCCCGATATTCCCAGTACCCACCTGGCACCATATGTAGTTATTACAATATTGTTGACTATATCCCTATGCTGTACTTCATATCCGCATGACTGTTTTGTAACTACCAATCTGTACTTAATCCCTTCTCCTTTTTTACCTAGCCCCTCAACGGTCCTCTCCTCTGGCATCCATCAGTCTGCTCTCTGTATCTGTGTGTCAGTTTCTATTTTGTCTATTCATTTATTTTGTTCTTTAGATTCCACATATAAGTGAAATCATATGGTATTTGTCTTTGACTTATTTTACTTAGCATAATACCCTCTAGGTCCATCCATTCTCTCATCAGATCTCATTCTTTTTTATGGCTGAGTACTATTTCATTGTATGTATGTACCACAGCTTCTTTTTTGTCCACTCATCTATTGTACAGATGCTATTTTTTCTTGTTAGATGTTGTAGACAAGCTCAGTTCACTTATTAGAGGCTAATTCTTATTCTATTTTTATTTTCCTTTTGTTACTTAGAGATGATATATTCCCAATTATGTATTGTCCCTTCATAAGAGGATATGAGATTAGAGATCAGACTTTGTCAGGATGTTAGGTTAGTGTTTGTATCACTGTCCATTATAAAGAGTGACCCATGTGCAGCATGTGCTAGGCCTGGGCACTGTCCACACAGAGCAGCCCTGGTGGGAGAGACGCTGTAGGACCCTGGGCTCTGGAGGTCAGCCCTTGTCAGTCTCCAGTGGTCCCTGGTCCCGTGTGGGATGCATAGGGCCAATCAGGGAGACAGGCAGGATGCTCAGGCTTTTTACCACTGCTGTTCACTGCTGTGCTCACACCACAGCGCAAACTCTGTCCCTATCCTCCAGGTCATATCACCAAAGCAATAGCCCACTGGGACTGCAGGTCCAAAGAGCTTCATGTTTAAGGGCATAAAGGTAACTGGCTGACTTCAGAAAGGAACTTGCTGCCATTGAATCCCTGCCCCCTAGTCTAAGCCAACATGCATCTCTTCTTTAGCAGGAAATTAGAATCTGGCGGCCAAGAACATCCCTGGATGGAAAGTCTTCCCCAGATGGAAAACCCTTGCTGAAGCATTTGCCACCACAGCAAACCCTGCCAAAAATGAGAGCAGTCACCCTGGCCGGTTTCTCAGTGGTTAGAGCTTCAGCCCACAGACCAAAGGGTCATGGGTTCAATTCCTGTTCAAGGGCACGTACCTCGGTCGCAGGTTCAACCCCCAGCCCCAGTCGGGGTGCGAGCAGGAGGCAACCACTTGATGTGTCTCTCATGTGGATGTTTCTCTCCCTCTCGCCTCTCCTTTCCACTCTCTAAAACTCAATGGAAAAAATATTCTCACTCTATGGATGAGGATTTAAAAAGAGAGAGAGCAATCCACTGAAAATGCAAAACATGCCTGGAAGTGAGCCCACTAAGACAGCATTTTATACTTCCTAAAGCTTTCCTCGGGAAAGCAACCAGGGCCCCTGTGGCTCAAGATAATCTACACTAATTGCAAATAAACAGGGATCTTCCACAAGTCTTGTGCATGTAAACACACCACAGCTCAGGAAATAAATCTCATAGCCACTCATTAATTTCTATCACACGAAAGCACCTTGCACATGGGAGGGTGGGACATTTTCATTTCTTCTTCACTCCTTCTTACCTTTCACCACACACACACACACACACACACACACACACACTCACACTCCCTCCTTACACAGTG